CCCCAAAAAAAAAAAGAAGAAGAAAGAAATCTCTTTAATATTGAATACTAGCATTATCACCCTAGGACAACAGAGCTGTTTGATTTTACATTTGTTGCTTCTTAAGAATTTGAGAAGACATTTCTTATAGCTGCTACATATATGTGCATGTTTTTCTCTAATTCAGGGGATAGTTAGTTAGTGAAGAGAAAGTAGATTCGTTTAACGTACCAATATATTACATGTCTCCTCAAGAATTGGAAGCTGCTGTAGAACGAAATGGATGCTTTAGCATAGAGAGAATGGAGACCTTGCCTCACATCTTGCCACAAGGCACTGCCTCTGGCGCCCAACTAGTTACATCTCACATTAGAGCTGCCGTTGAGAGACTCATCAAGCAGCACTTTGGAGATGAAATCTTAGATGAGCTCTTTGACTTGTGCCGTAAGAAATTTGAAGAGCAACCCTCCATGTATGAGTCAGGGATGCCGGTTAATTTTCTTGCTGTGCTTAAACGCAAGGCAACCTGATTGTTATGGTGTGTTTGGTGTTTGTGAAGCTATAGTTAAACTTTCTTGAGCTTCCTATCTTGTTATGTGACTGATTAAGGTGGCATGTAAAATCGCAGTTAATTATATATTTGTAATAAGTTGAGCTTCGTATAATAACAGTGTGAAAATAAAGCTCATTTTAGATGGGCTCTTTGACCTGTATAGTAAGAAACTTGATGATCAACCACCACTTCCTTTAATTACTATACCTCTTTACCTACCACTTCCCTTTCACTCTCAGTCGCACAATGCTTTTAGCTACTAGCAAGTTTTCAAGGTCCCTCGAGCTTTCCCTTTCATTACCTTTTCTTACATTTATTATTTATTAATATCTGAGTTTTTTCTTTGCTTTTGCTTTTATTTTTTGTTAGATTCGTCAGGTTCTTCATGCAGAGAGGCCCTGCTCAACTCAAATGGTTTTCGTTTTATTTTCTTTTGGCTGTTGGATGTGTTTGTTCTTTACTTTTTGGTTACTAGTATTCCTACAATAATTTGGACGGGATAGCATGGTTTTCAGATACTGAATCATTTTTAATATCGAAAGCCTTCAATATATAAAGCTATAATTGAACGGGGTCCTAATACATTCTGTTCTGTGCATGATGTAGTTGTATATTAGTGTTGTTATTTCCATAAAAGTGATTGGAGAATCGATATCTTGCTAACTTATAAGATACACCCCTTTAATCTGCAACAGTTTTCTGCAGGGGAAAATCAGTTTGATGAAAGTAGAAACTTTTAATCTGCCAACAATAAATAATATAATACATATATAGATGCATCTTAACATCTATATAACTTAGAAGGTCAACCACAGGGTAATCTTTCAGTGCCGGCATGGAGGGAAAGGGGAGAAACAAGAGTGACAAGGAGAAGGAAACTAAAAGTCTTTTTCCTTTTCCACTGACTATTAATTTTATTTTAATTGATTTACTTTGTCTTTTGATTAGTGGCAAGTAGTGCAGTAGTATCAGCCGACTGAAGTTATAAGAAGAACATACATGACATGACATACACCCACTCACACACACAGAGAAACAGAGAGATGGCAGCAGCAGAGGAAGCCAGTAAATTCTCTGAGGAAGCAAATGCATATCCAATGACAGGTGGAGATGGACCCAACAGCTATGCCAAAAACTCAACTTTGCAGGTTCTTCTATAGTTAGTTTGGTTGGAGGTGGTAATTAGTGGCTGCTAATAAGATATTTATTGTTTTGATTTCTGCAACGTCATTATTTACTAAGATTTAAGCATTTTATGTATGGTTCGTTTAACCTAAAGCAAGTATAATGGGTAAATTGGATAGTTCTGTGGATGGAAAAAATTAAAAGATAAACAAGGCAAAGATCACCTTAAAATAAAGTTAACATGCAGGTCTATGCTTTTGTAGAGAGGAGCTGGGGACGCTGCCAAAGAACTTCTAAACGAGGCAATTGCAGAAAAGCTTGACATAGACATCTTGTCATCTTCTAACACTTTTCATATTGCAGATTTGGGTTGCTCTGTCGGGCCAAATACATTTTTTGCAGTTGAAAACATAATTGAAGCTGTGAAATTCAAGTTTCAGAGCCAAGGGCTGAATTCTCAAATCCCTGAATTTCAAGTATTCTTCAATGATCATACTCAAAATGATTTTAACATGCTCTTCAGATCCCTCCCTCAGAACAGGCAATACTATGCTGCGGGTGTGCCTGGTTCTTTCTATGGTCGCCTATTTCCTATTGCTTCTATTCACTTTTTTCACTCTTCTTATGCCCTTCAATGGCTTTCTAGAGTACCAAAAGAGGTAGTGTACAAGAACAGTCCCGCGTGGAACAAAGGACGAATCCATTACTCTAATTCCACAGATGAAGTAGTAAGGGCTTATGAAGCTCAACATGCTGAGGACATGGAGTGCTTTCTAAATGCCAGGGCACAGGAGATTGCTGATGGAGGAGTGACGGTACTGCTCATTCCAGGCCGCCCCAATGGTACCCCCCATTCTCATCCTGTGGGAAATGTGAGCTTCCAACTTATAGGATCTTGCCTCATGGACATGGCTAGGAAGGTGAGCAATGATCCACACTGCTATAAGTTTGTCATTTTGCTATTGTGTATGGCTAGTCCATTATAGTCCTATTATGTTATGTGTTGGCATATGAATTGTATCTGTGTAACTTTACAAAGCCAAATAATGACGCACAATAGAGATCATGTTACATAAGTTGGCTAATTTTATGCCCCATATTTGACATTACAATTCTTGCTTTGTGTAGAATTTCCCAAGACATTTTCTTTATGGCTGCTATGTGTTTTTCCTTTGTGCAGGGAGTAGTAAGTGAAGAGAAAGTAGATGCATTTAACATACCTGTGTATGCCATGTCTCCCCAAGAACTGGAAGCTGCTGTAGAAGGAAATGGACATTTTAGCCTAGAGCAAATGGAAACCTTACCTCATGTCTCGACACATGGCACGGTCTCTGTAACCCAACTAGTTGTATCTCACCTGAGAGCTGCCTTGGAGGGACACATCACACAACAATTTGGAGAAGAAATCGTAGATGAGCTCTTTGAATCGTATCTTAAGAAACTAGAAGAGCAACCCTCCATCCTTGCAACAGGGACTGCAATTATCTTTCTTGTTGTGCTTAAACGCAAGGCAAATTGATGTGAAAATGCTGTTTCGGTATTCGTGAAGCTATAGTTCAATTTCCTTTAGCTTCATTGTTATGCTAGTTGTTTTATTATAAGACTAAGTGACATAAAATTGCTGCAATACACCCATGAGTCTTAGCGCAAGTGGCATGGGATGGACGTGATGGGATTGCTGGACTCCCCTTGTAACCTAAAAATTGATGCAGTACAAATTTGCAAGCCACCTAAAATAAGCAGGGGAGAGATGTACTCTATCCTGAGAGACAATGCTCTTTATTAAATCATGTTTTGAAAACCTTTGGCTCCAGTTATAATCGAAGAGTCTGTTTTCTTTTTTGGTTCAATTTGGAGTTCAATGCTGCCACAAATGTAGTCCATGGCAGTATCTAGACGTATACACTAATTATTGTTAGACTAATAATAATACTATAATCAGAAAACCTAATATCGATCTAACAAAGGCTGGCAGAGAAGATTCATGTGTGTAGTCTCATTCAGGATTGGACTGAGTTAACAGATAACTGAGGTATGAGGATGAGATGAGACATAAGAAACAACAACAAACCGGCAGGAATGGATATAATACTAATGATGATAATGAATGATAACGGACTTTTCTGTTGTCTTCTGCTTTTCTCAATTTAAGTTTAGCTTACTCTTGTCTTTTATTTGTGACGTAGTACAAGAGTGCAATACAATATGCCATACTTAGCTACCCTCCCCTCCATCCCCCACCAAAAATAGAAAGAAGAGCACCCGGAGAGAGAGGGAGAAAGATGGCAGCAGAGAAAACCAGTAAGTTGTCTGAAGCATATCCCATGAAAGCTGGAGATGGCCCCAACAGCTATGCCAAGAACTCCGCTTACCAGGTTGTTCTATAGTTAACTTTGACATGGGTTTGCAGTTGACTGATTTATTGCCTCTTCTGCTTAAACAGCATAGTTTTCGGTTGCATAAAGCATGACTGCTATAATTATTGTTTTGTTTTCTAGAAAATCATTACTTTGTAAACTTACTAATACACAGCACAATCTTATGTATGGCTAGCTTAACCAAAATCAAGTTATTGGGTAAATCAGATAGTTATGTAGACAAATCAAATTGAAAATGCTGAGTCCTCTCTACTAAAAGAACATGCACATACTCTGCTTTTGCAGAAAGGTGTTGTGGGTGCTGCCAAAGAACTTCTAGACAGGGCAATTGCGGAAAAGCTTGACGTAGAGATCTTTCTGTCCTCCAACACCTTTCACATTGCAGACTTGGGTTGCTCAGTGGGGCCAAATACATTTCTTTCTGTTGAAAACATACTTGAAGCTGTAGAATTTAAGTATCAAGGCCAAGGCTTCAATTCTCAAATCCCGGAATTTCAAGTTTTCTTTAATGATCACACTCCAAATGATTTTAACATGCTTTTCAAATCCCTCCCTCAAAGTATAAGGGAACCCTATTATTTACACAAAGCAGGCGATACTATGCTGCGGGTGTGCTTGGTTCTTTCTATGGTCGCATATTTGCTAATGCTTCCATTCACCTTGTTCACTCTTCTTATGCCCTTCATTGGCATTCTAGAGTACCAAAAGAGGTAGTGGACATAGACAGTCCTGCTTGGAACAAAGGACGAATCGATTACTCAAATTCAACACAGGAAGTAGTAAGGGCTTATGAAGCTCAATATGCTGAGGACATGGAGTGCATCCTGCATGCCAGGGCACAAGAGATTGTGTATGGAGGATTGATGGTACTTATCATTCCAGGCCGCCCCAATGGTACCCCTCATTCTCGGACTTCGTTAAATGTGGTCTATCAACTTTTGGGATCTTGCCTCATGGACTTGGCTAGGAAGGTAAGCAACTATCAACTGCTCTAAGTTTTATAGAACACTCCAATATGTCCCTTGGAAGAAATGACAGCTATGTGTGTTTTCTTTATGCAGGGAGTAGTTAGGGAAGAGAAAGTAGGTTCTTTTAATATACCTATCTATAACACGTCTCCTCGAGAACTGCAAGCTGCTGTAGAGAAAAATGGTTGTTTTAGCACAGAGAAAATGGAAAACTTACCTCATATCTCGGCACTTGACATTGAAAATGTTACTAGACGTGCCCAACTAATTGCATATCATGTTAGAGCTGCTACAGAGGGACTCATCAAGCAGCAATTTGGAGATGAAATCTTAGATGAGCTCTTTGGCTTGTACAGTAAGAAACTTCAACAGCAACCATCAATCTTTGAGTCAGTGAAGGCAATTAACTTTCTTGTTGTGCTCAAATGCAAGGCCACTTGATTTGAATACGCTGTTTGGTATTCGTCAAGCTGTTGTTAAGTTTACTTTAGCTAGCTTTTAACCTTTTTATCATATGAAGTATTGACTTGTAAAATTAATAAGAGCCTGAGGAGACAAGTATTCTTATGTAAACCATTGAAAACCTTTGGCTCAAAACAGAATTGCATGTGATTTGAGTGGTTTTCTTATAAATACCTACCCTCGTATTTTCACTGTAGTTTTTGGATTCGGACTGGATATAAAATGATTTGAGTTTTTCCGTAATGATCACACCTTAAGTGAATTCAAAATGATCTTCGCATCCTTCCCTCAGAAGTTGGTCTGCCTGGTTTAATCTATTGATTGATGCCATTTGTTGATTTTGTTCATTCTTCCCTGACAATGGCTTTTCTGAGATACCAAAGGAGGTAGTGGACAGGAACTCCCCGACAAACAATTCTTTCTTGATCCTGAAGCTTTTTCCACTATTTGTTGGAATCTTGTCTCGTAGATATGGCCACGAAGGTATGCCATTGATCAGCATCAGCAGGCCATAAGTCTAACATGGAAACATCAATATAAACTCAACTTATTTGTCTTGCACCGCATCACCACAAAGGACGTTTTCTATTGTCTTATGCTTTTCTTAATTAATTTCCTGTCTTAGGGTTTCGCGTCAAGTAGCAGTGGTAGATACAATAACAATGATCCCTGCAATACAATCTCCCATACGTTCATACTCCCAACACAGAGAGAGAGAGAGAGAGAGAGAGAGAGATGGCTCCAGCAGAGGAAACCAGTAAATTCTGTGAAGCATATCCAATGAAAGGTGGAGATGGACCCAACAGCTATGCCAACAACTCCACTTACCAGGTTTCTTCTATAATACCTTCACCTGTTTTTTTTAAAAACAGCATAGTTTAGTTTTAGTTGAAATAAACTCTATTTATATAAACTGTTTATGTATGGCATTCCTTCAACCATAACCAAATAGCTCAGGTATTAGGTAAATTACGTAGTTCTTGTTGGAAGAAAATTAAAAATTATGGAACCCCTCAACTAACTGTATCCTGCACATTCCTGCTTTTACAGAGAGGAGTTGTGGATGCTGCCAAAGAACTTCTGAGTAAGGCAATTGCAGAAAAGCTTGATATAGACATCTTGTTATCTTCCAACAGCTTTCAAATTGCAGATTTAGGTTGCTCTGTTGGGCCAAATACATTTTTTGCGGTTGAAAACATAGTTGAAGCTGCGAAATTCAAGTTTCAAAGCCAAGGGCAGGATTCTCAAGTTCCTGAATTTCAAGTCTTCTTTAATGATCATACCCCAAATGATTTTAACATGCTCTTCAAATCCCTCCCTCAGAATAGGCGATACTCGCAGTCGGTGTGCCTGGTTCTTTCTATGGTCGCATATTTCCTAATGCTTCCATGCACTTTGTTCACTCGTCTTCTGCAATTCAATGGCTTTCAAGCGTACCAAAAGTAGTAGTGGACAAAACCTCACCTGCTTGGAATAAAGGACGAATCCATTACCTAAATTCCCCAGAAGAAGTAGCAAGGGCTTATGAAGCTCAATATACAGAGGACATGGAGTGCTTCCTGCATGCCAGGGCTCAAGAGATTGTGTATGGAGGATTGATGGTACTTACTGTTCCGGGCCGCCCCAATGGTAGTTCTCATTCTCATTCTTCAATAAATATGAGCTTTCAACTTTTAGGATCTGCCCTCATGGACTTGGCTAGGAAGGTAAAACTGGTCTAAGTTTGATACTGTACTACTATGTATAGCTAGTTCTTTTTTATCCTATTATGTTTTGTCATGTAAATATCTCAGAGATGAAAGAAGAGACTTGTTTAATTTTAACATCGTTATAACCCTACGATAAAATGATATTTCGACATAGTGCAGATGACAATGCTTATCTCTTACGAAGCCAAATAATGCAACAAGATAGAGAACCATGTAAAACAAATTTGATTTTAGAATTAGTGTTGCTTTATATTGGACAGTACAAGACATGCTTATGGCTGCTCTGTTTTTTCTTTATGCAGGGCGGTGTTAGCGAAGAGAAAGTAGATTCATTTAACATACCAATCTATTGCATGTCCCCCCAAGAACTGGAAGCTGCTGTAGAACGAAATGGAAGTTTTAGCATAGAGAGTATGGAAAACTTACCTCATGTCTCGGTAGATGACACTGTCTCAAAATCTCAACTATTTGCAGCTCACATGAGAGCTGGCATGGAGGGGCTCGTCAAGCAGACATTTGGAGAAGAAATCTTAGATGAGCTCTTTGACTTGTTTGGTAAGAAACTTGAAGAGCCACCCTTCATCTTTGAGACAGGGAAGACAATTAACTTTCTCTGTGTGCTTAGGCGCAAGGGAAATGGATTTGAACATGCTGTTTAGAATTTCCTTTATCCTGTTTTTATGTTTGTTTCCGTAAGTGATATATAAGTTGCTGCAATATAAGTTTGTAAGGCACTTATAATAAGCAAGAGAGAGATACACTCTTTGCCTGAGAGACAGTGCTTGTAATTTGTACAAAACCGATGGCCTAATAATTAATCTTGTCATGTAGTTCATGACAACTTGAAGTGCTTTGCATGCGCAGTTGATGTGTCATGTGCTTGAAGCTTTCCTTGCATGAATTAATATCTCAGTAGTCAGTAGTGGATATAAATTAACAACCACCCTCAGACGAGAAAGAGCAGAGGAAACTAGCCGAGGACATGGAGTGCTTCCTGCATGCCAGGGCACAAGAGATTGTGTATGGAGGACTGATGGCACTTATCATTCCAGGCCGCCCTGACGGTACCTCTGATTCTGATGCTCCGGCAAATATGAACTTTGAACTTTTAGGATCTTACCTCATGGACTTGGCTAGGGAGCTAAGCAATGATCAGCTGCTGAAAGTGTGATATTTTATTACTTGGAGCCATCAATATTGAATAAACCATAAATATTATTCAAGCATATGTATAAAATGGTTCTGTCCTTTGAATTTAACAAGAAAAAATAAACATAGAAAAAGATGACTAGTCTGTCTTACACTGCATCACCGCCATGGACTTTTTCAATTGTCTTCCACTTTTCTTAATTGATTTATTTAGTCTTTGATTGATGTCAAGTAGCAGAATAGTCATACTGATCCCTGCAATACAAATATGCCATAACTCCCCCCTCAAAGAAAACAGAGGAGAAATAGCAGAACTGGAAACCAGTAAACTCTCAGAAGCATTTTCAATGAATGGTGGAGATGGGCCCAACAGCTATGCCAAAAACTCTACTTTACAGGTTAGTATCCTTTACAAGGAATAGAGTAGGTGCAATTTAGTAATTTAAAGAGGTCTTCAATGGGCATGTTCTGATTCTGATTGAAACAGCTCAGTTTTCAGTTCAAATACAATGCAAAAGCAAACATTTCTTCTTCTTCTGCAAAACTCATTTAATTACTGTTAAAAAATTCCAAGAATGTCACATATATATATACAATAGCTGATCTAATTATATGGCCCCTCAACTAAAGTAACTTGCATACTTTGTGCTGTTGCAGAGAGGCGTTGTGGATGCTACCAAAGAACTTCTAAGTAAGGCAATTGCAGAAAACCTTGACATAGAAACCTTGTTATCGTCCAAAACCTTTCACATTGCAGATCTCGGTTGCTCTGTTGGTCCTAATACATTTTTTTCAGTTGAAAACATACTTGAAGCTGTGGAATTCAAGTATCAAAGCCAAGGGCTGAATTCTCAAATCCTTGAATTTCAAGTTTTCTTTAATGACCATACCCCAAATGATTTTAACATGCTATTCAAATCCCTCCCGCAGAACAGACGATACTATGCTGCGGGTGTACCTGGTTCTTTCTATGGTCGCCTATTTCCAAATGCTTCTATTCAAATGGTTCACTCTTCTTATGCCACTCACTGGCTTTCTAGAGTACCAAAAGAGGTAGCGGACAGAAACACTCCGGCATGGAACAAAGGAAGAATCTATTACTCAAATTCCACAGATGAAGTAGTAAGGGCTTATGAAGCCCAATATGCTGAGGACATGGAGTACTTCCTGCATGTCAGGGCACAAGAGATTGTGCATGGAGGACTGATGCTACTTATCATTATAGGGCGCCCCAGTGGTACCCCTCATTCCGATTCTCGGGCCAATATTTGTTGAGCAAATTTTAGAGTACACAACTCTAAGATAGACTTGTTGGAGACAAAACAAGTAAACAATTTACTTGTATTAGACTCACAAAATATTACAACAAACAACTCTCAAAGGAAAGACTAACTCTTACAAACACTCTTTCTCACTTCACTCACACTTCTCACAATGACTCCTTAGCTCTATAGCTCACTCTTCTAGTTGACACACACTTCACTTCTTTATTCTATACAATGCATGGCTTTATGCCTATTTATAGTTGTTCTAGCCGACATAGCTCTCCATTCCATTGCCTTTGCTACATAATTCTTTTACTTTCTAGACTATTCTCCATTCCTAGCCGACATAGCCTATGTAACTTTCTAGAATCAACTACATTAATCTATTACAATACTAGTTACTAGGTCGGTGGAACTTCCTTCACTTTTCCAGATTTTTCTATAATTGTCTAGTACAAGTGATGACTTCCTTCTCTAGGCTTTAATTCCTTGGGCTGAGTTCTGTCATTGGGCTGGTGTTGATTTTAACACTCCCCCTCAACACCAGCTCACATTCTTTGCACCACATTCAGCTGTCGTCGAAAATTTTCGAACTTTCCTGTGTTCAAACCTTTTGTGAATAAGTCCGCAACTTGATCATCTGTATTGATATGTCTCATCTCAATCTCTTCTTGCAGAACCTTCTCTCTAATAAAATGGTAGTGTATCTCCACATGTTTGGTTCTTGCATGAAAGACTGGATTTTCCGCCAAACGAACTGCTGATTGATTATCACAGTATAACGGCACTGAATAATCTACCAATTGATGTAGATCATTCATTAGCTGTGTTAGCCACGTGATCTCTTGAGCTGCCATTGCTGCTGCTCTGTACTCAGCTTCAGTGGTTGACAAAGATACTGTCGGCTGTCTCTTACTGCACCAAGAAATTGTTCCTGAACCGAGCTTAAACACGTACCCGGTAGTTGATCGACGAGTATCATGATCTCC